CACAAAATCTAATTGAAAAAAGACTTATAAACTGGTTTATTGATTCAAATGAAACCTCAGGATCGGGTCATGAGATTATTCAATTTGATATTGAACTGAGTGAAAAACAAAGAAGTGAAAATCCTCTTCTCTCTAATCAGTATAACTTTGAAAAAGCTGATTGAAAAGCAGTTGAAGAAAGAGTAAAACAGCTGAAATCTGAAAGACAGAGTGAGCTCTATTGAAATCAAAGTCAAGATATATTAAATGAAATGCTTGAGAATAGAGCAAAGCTGATTACATCTATTCTTCTAACAAGTATTGAAGAAAATATTCCAAAGAAAAAGTCTTCTGAGTATTTCAAACCTTGGTGTAATGAGAATATCACTTCTAAAAGAAAGCAATTAGCCACTGCTAAGAGAGATTGAAAGAATCACTTAATATCTGATGAAGAGTTCAAAGCTATTCAAAATGAATATTTTTCAGATATTAAAAAAGTCAAAACAGATTGCTGGAACAAATTTCTTGAAGAAGCATAAGGAAAAGAACTTTTCAAAGCCTTTAACTATACTAAAACAAGAAGTGTAGCAAAGCTTCCAACCTTAGAATATGAATTTCAGAATGAATTATATACAGCAAATTCTTTTGAGGAAAAATATCAAGCTTTTATGAGAATTCTCTTTCAAAACTCATCATCACATTTAGAAGAGGAGAATATGTCATTTCATGAATATATTGATGAAAATAACTGAGAATGGCCTGAGCTTACATATGATGAACTAGAGTCAGCAATATTCTCAAGTTCAATTAAAACTGCTGCAGGGCCTGATTCAATTAATCACTCAATTATTCAAAACACATATTTCTACTTGAAGAATGAATATTTTGAGCTCTTTTTCAATCTCTTAAAAAATGATTATCATTCTGAATGCTGGAGAGAAGCTACTGGAGTAATCCTTACAAAACCTAATAGAAAGGCTTCAATTTCTAAGTCATATAGAGTAATATCTCTGTTGAACTGTTTGGGAAAAATTCTAGAAAAGATAATAGCTACTAGATTATCTTTTATAAGCTCTATTAGTGATTCTCTTCTATTTAGTGAATAAATGAGAGGTAGAAAACAATGTTCTGCAATTGATACTGTTCTCTCAGTTATTCATGATATTCAAGTAGCAAAGCATGAAGGCCTGGTCTCAACTGCAGTTTTTATTAATATAAAAGATGCATTTGATCATGTGTCAAAGTCTAAGATGATTCAAACTTTGAAGATGTTAAAACTGCCACTTTCTCCAATAAAATGGATCAATTGTTTCATGTCTAAAAGAATTATACAACTATTCTTTGATGGAAGAAAACAAGATAAAACTGAGATAAAAATAGAAGTATCACAAGAATCTTCAATCTCACCTGTTTTATTTGCAATATACACTGCATATCTATTCAAGAATAGAGAGATGAAAATAGTGAGATCTTCAAGTTATGTAGATGATATTGGTCTACTCTATAGTTCAAAGACAATCAAAGAGAACTTAGAAGTGATTGAGAAAGCAGTAAAGAAAATCTTTGTTAGAGCAGATATCAATCTAATTCAATTTGATATGAATAAAACTGAGTTAATTCACTTTTTTTCCAGATTTAATGAGAAAGAACTAAGTCTAACTCTTTTGAATAAAGAGATTAAACCCAGTTTAAATGTCAAATGGCTAGGAGTATGATTAAACTCCAAGCTGAATTTTAAATATCATATTCAACAAAGAATCATCAAGGCAGAGAGACTACTGAATAGTATAATCAGACTATCAAATACTGAGAGAGGTCTATTCTTTCAGGCTATGAGATAGTTATACATAGCCTGTATTACCTCAGTAGCTGATTATGAAGTTCAAGTTTGATGAAACAATCAAGAAAACTTCACTGAACTCTTTCAAAGTCTACAAAACAGAGCTTTGAGAAGAATTCTGAGTGCATTCAAGTCATCTCCTATTAAAGCAATGGAAATTGAAGCTTCAATTTCACCTCCTGCTATTCAATTTGAAAAGGCCTGTATGAACTATGCTCTGAGAGTCATGAAGATGAGCTTAAATCATATAATCAGAGAAAGAGTCTCTTCTTCATTTCCACTAGTTAACTCAGGAAATGAACTGGATTGGAATAGATTTCTTGATTGAAATGAGAATAATACTTTAAAGAAAATGCTCTCTCAACTGTATAGACTATGTTCACTTATTAAGAATCAATTTTCTTCATTAAATGTTGAGAAAATTGATCATGAGAAGATATCTCTTTGAAGAGAAAAGCTGGAATCTCTCAGAGACTTATAAATAAGTGAACTATCTAAAGAGAGAGAATATGAACAGCATTTGAAGAAGATCTCTACAATTAATATAAAAGACTCTATTCTGATCTACTCAGATGGCTCAAAAAATGAGAATTTGAATAGATTAGGCGCAGGCATTGCTTATACTGAAGATAGTATTAATTTTATCTCAGATTTCTGGAATTTAGGCTGTGAATCTGAAGTCTTTGATGCTGAACTATTTGCAATAGTGAAAGCTTTCAAACTCATTGAAATAAAATCTCATAAAAGAGGAAATGATTTGAAAGAGGCATGGATATTCTCTGATAGTCAAGCTGCTTTAAAAAGACTTAGAAATAGTCAGATTCATAATGATCAAATGAATCCTGAACTGATTTTAAACTCTGTTTTGAAAATTCAAAAGAGAAGAATATCAAAACTGATAATTCATCTGCATTGGGTTCCTGCTCATATGAATATTCATGGCAATGAATTGGCTGATTCAGCTGCAAAAAAGGATTCAGAATTAAGCAGATCTATTCAAAAAACAGTGTCCTGATCTTTCATAAAGAGAAAGATAAAAGAATCTTGTTTAAACAAGTGAAATGAAAGCTGGTAGAAACAAAAGAAGAGTATACATTATTCAAGATTTGAGACAAAATCAAAGTGAAAATCTTGTTCAATTAAATGTAAAAAGAAAATATTCTCATCTATAATTCAGCTGAAACTAGGACATGGTTATTTCAAATCTTATATACAAAGATTTGATGATAGATTTGATTCAACAGAGTGCTCATTCTGCAATGTGAATGAAAATCCTGAGCATATTGTAATGCATTATGCATTATACAATAGTCTCAGAGTCAGATTAAAGAAGAAGTATGATTTAAATCAATTAAATATGAGGTTCTTATTCTCAACTGAGACAGGAACTAAATACTTAATAGACTTTCTATCAGAAACTAGAGCAGCTACAAGAAAATGACTGAATTCAGAAGTATCTGAATATGAAGAGGTGGAAATTGACTAGATATAGTCTGTTAAAACAGCTATACATTATCTTTTAATAATTTTGTTTTGTTATAGTCTCTCTTTACTGTACTTGTTTCCTTCTGTTCTTTTCTCTATCTATTTAATATGTCTATCTTTAAGACTATGTTCTCTTTTCTTTTGTCATAATATTTTCAAATGGTTTCAAACTATCAGAAGGTGTTGAAATACTGCAATTTGTAAACAGTTTTTGTATTCTGGGCTGGAATTTTCTGATTTTGCATATTTGAAATTGATAAATGTATAATAGTTGACTCTATAGATATAGGAAAAACCCTGAGAACTAAAGATTCTCAGGTAGATGTCATAGTCTCTGACTGCATACATCTATAATTGAAGAATAATAATAATAATAATAATAATAATGAATATAATACAGAATATTAGAATATAATAGAGTTCAATATATAAAATAACTATTCAGACTCTTCAATTATATCAGATAATTGATTATTAAGTATAATACTCTGATTGAGAAAAGATTCAGATATTAAAACTTTCTAATATAAAGTGAACTTAGTTAAAATATATAATTAATTTACTGTTTCAGTTTTATAAGATAATAAAGATAGTTTCAATTACTTGTATATTAATACTGCAGTCAGTCTGATAAGTATATAACAGTTTATTTACTTATCTTAAGAAGTAGTTGAATCACTTAAAAAGAAATTCAGTCTGAAATAATACTATAGTACAGGCTATTATTACTGTAAGAAATAAACTGATATATTACTATAGTAAAACTGAATAATCTTTTATAGAGTACTATACTATAACAGCTCTATTAGATTTCTTCTGTTAAGTTAATATTTACACTTCTTAAGATTGAACAGAGAAGAAATAAGACTTATATATTAAATTAACTCAAGACTACTCTAATATCAACTATCAGAGATTTGAATAAGCAGATATTTAAGATATAAAGATTGTAAAATATAATTCTCTAGTAAGTAATAATCTTTGATAATACTTTATATTATATAGAACTATAATACTAACTTTGAAACAGAACTTATATATATTGATTACAACTGAAAATCAGATAAAACTATATACTTATAAAACTGAATTTAGCTGCTATTTTCAAGATAATTCAATGAATTTACATGTTAAATTAATTCTAGAGTTATGAAAAATTATTGAGTGTATATATTCAACTATTATACTGATAATATGTAATATTCTGATAATTTTATTGATAGAGATAAAAATGAAGTGAAAGTTCAACTTAAGTTGAGATATTTATTACTATTACTGAGAACAATTATAAGAAGAAATAATTAAGAAACTCATGATTATAAAACATAGAATTATCAGACAGATTAATATCTCTGATCACAGTATATCAGAGAAGTGTAGTTTTCATGAGAAAGTGAAGAATAAACTTATACAAGAATGTATTTAGTTGTTTCATGAGTGTTATTAATAATTATTATCAAATTCTGATTATATAAGCAATCACTGAATGTGTTGAAGCTACTACACAAGCCCTAACCCACGTGACCAACACATATATATTTAGCTTTCACTAGCTACTAGTTAGATAATAACAACAATCAATCATGTTCAACCTCTCTTAAAGATTATAAAGCTCTTGCACTTCTACAAAGCATTATAATCATGCAATAATCATACAATAAGCTTTTCAAATAGCTGCTTTTTTCATTCAAATACTCCATATCAAATGCCTGTCAATACAAGATTGATGAACTGCAAAGAGACTACAGAGAATCAGATAGCTGAATCCTTTTCAACATCAATAACCGCGCGAAGATGATGCAATAATCAAGCCCAAGATAATTCTCCAGAACGCGAAGATATGGAAGACCATGATGAACAAAGCTGCTGGTTTGAACACCCAGAGAAATGACCTGCGGATTGAAAGAATAGAAAGAAGGTCAATGATGATGATGCTGCTACATCTGTATGCTACAATACTGAGCAAGTCTTCTAATGATGCTCATGATGACCGCCAATATCGACGCCAAAACGATGGAAATACCGATAACGATGCCAGGCCCCAGTGCCTATATGATGCCAGGCCCCAGTGCCTATATGATGCCAGGCCACAGTGCCTATATGATGCCAGGCCCCAGTGCCTATATGATGCCAGGCCCCAGTGCCTACGATGCCAGGCCCCAGTGCCTATAGGATGCCAGGCCACAGTGCCTACGATGCCAGGCCCCAGTGCCTATATGATGCCGGGCCACCGATTGCTCATATGATGACCTATGCCGAGTGCCTATATGATAACCATGATAACTCACGATAACCAGGCCACCGAGTGTGCCTATATGATAACCATGATAACCCACGATAACCAGGCCACTGAGTGTGCCTATATGATAACCACGATAACTCATGATAACCAGGCCACCGAGTGTGCCTATATAATAACCACGATAACCCATGATAACCAGGCCACTGAGTGTGCCTATATGATAACCACGATAACAATAACAATAAAATGACAAAAATATGAGAAATGAGACCCTGCAGTGTTCAGATGACTGAGGGGGTAATACAGATACAGAAAGAATGAATTTAAGTGTTTTTTCTTGCATATTCGCGTGTATTTGCATGTATGAAGCTAGTTCTTATGAGAAAACTAGACTCTACTTTGTGTAATTAATTATTATTGCAAGATTTGAATGATTTGAGCACTTTTAACTGTGTGAGTTAACTGGCCTGTGTAGCATGAGAGAGTGTTGAAGCTACTACACAAGTTCTAATTCACATGACTTACACACATATATTTAGCTTTTACTAGCTACTAGTTAGATAATAATAATAATCAATCATATTCAATCTCTCTCACAGAATGAACTGAATGTAATGTAATAAAACTGAAGTAGTGACTAGTCAGTGATATTATGTAGAGATAGTTATTTAAGAAGCTGTATAAATAAGCTTAACTATTTTACTTAAATAGTGAGCTTGTAGACTACAGAGTTATTACAAGAATATTACAGATATAATACTTAGTATACTAAGACAATTATATAAGATACATAGTAACTTTTATATATATTTCAGTAGAAGAAAAATGAATCACTGATCTCTTTTATAAGAAGTTAGTATCTAGTTATTTTATATAGATAATCAGTAGATACTCTTCTCTTATTTCATAAGTAAGAATAGCTGAAGTAATATCTCAGCAGTGTCTTACTACTAAGAAAAAGTAATCTGTTAATCTTATATAGAAGTGAGATTCTTATATTTATCAATCAGATCTTTCTATGATATATCTGAATAATATTATAGAGTGATTAAAAACTGATTTAAATAGTCTACAGAATAAATAAAATTATTCATATAAAAGTAATAAGTTATATAAAATTATAGTAAGATTATAATATAATTAGAGATATCATAATACTCTTCTCTTTAAGAATATAGTCTTAATGTTCTTAAGATTACTGAATTAGAAATTATCTTTGTTATATAGTAATAATTATCAATCAATTTAATAGTGTATGTACTATATATAATATAAAGAAATAGATGAGTTTTTCTACTGACTGTGTAGATCTTTCTTTTCTCATCTTCATTTAAATTAAATACATGATAAGTGAGTTTCTTATATATCAATTTAAAATGTGAAAAATATAGTTAATAAGTGACTTATAAATCACTCATTATATTTCATTCTATATATAAAATTCTCTGCAAAAGTAATGTGTTTAAGAGATAAAGTTAACAGTAGTGATAGAATTTTTTGAAAAGATCTCTCTCTCTGTGAAATATTTTTCTTCCCTCTCTTCATCTGTAATAGTGAGTGCATGAGAACATTATTCTTAAGAGATAATAAGAGGCTTATTCTGACATTTTCTAGTAAGTAATAAACATCTTTGTGATGTGACTATGATCTCTGTGTTAAGAAAGCTCAGTTGAAGACAGAGATAGCAGTGTTATTATTATTATTATTATTCTTCAATTATAGATGTATGCAGTCAGAGACTATGACATCTACCTGAGAAATTTTAGTTCTCAGGGTTTTTCCTATATCTGTAAAGTTAACTATTATACATTCATCAAATTCAGATATGTAAAATCAGAAAATTCCAGCTCAGAATACAAAAACTGTTTACAAATTGCAGTGTTTTAACATCTTCTGATACTTTGAAACCATTTGACAATATCATGACAAAGGAAAAGAGAAATAGAACACAGTCTTAAAGATAGACACATTAAATAGATAGATAGAAAGGAATTGAAAGGAAAAGATAAAGTAAAGAGAGACTGTAAGAGATAGCAGTGTCAATGAGCTGTGAAAGTACTGCTTTTATTATTATATCTTCTCTCTCTTCTGCATCTCTTGCAGCTGTAATGATAGTAGCTGCAACTTGCAGTAAGATATTATCTCTTCTATCAGCTAGTTTATCTGTGTTCAGTTCATCTTCTATCTCTCTCATTGCTGTTACAACACTGTTCTCTCTCTTAATTAACACAGTAATGTATGACTCTGTGTGATCATTCAGAGAGAACTCTGAAAAGAGCTTGATTCTGAAAACAACAGCTCTAAGAAGCTTAATCTGTAGTTTCTCTCTTATAATATATCTAAGCTCTGCTCAGAATACTGCTAAGTTAAGTCTGTAGAGTCTCACAGTTTCTTTATCTTCTCTCTGTAAGAAGGCTTCAGTGCAGTCTCTGACTAATATTATTACTTATCTGTACTGTGCTAAGCAGCTGAAGAAGAGAGAAATCTTATACACTTATCTCTTCTCTCACTTCTGTTATTTCTGTTATATCTGTAATAATAACTTCTATCTCTCTGTAAGTATTATCTACTCTATAAGAAGATATCATATCAGCTCTGATAAGAAGCTTAGATGCTTAAGCAGTACAGAGTGAGAGTCTCAAAACTTCAAGTATTAATAAATTTTATCAAGACTGAGAAGATTTCTCTTACTCATCTGTAAAAGAAGATGAAAGCATGAATCTCTGAGATGAAAAAACATCTCAGAATAACTGATGTTAAGAAGAGATTAGTTAATACTGCTGTTAAAAGTATTATAAAGATTAATTACTAATTAAAGAGAATCTTACTTCAGTTAAAGCAGATAACTGAGATACTTTATAAGTTAATAAATTAATACTTTCAGTATCTTTTATACTCTTCTACAGCATGCTTCTCTGCAGTACTGCAGTGCTAACTTCTCAATAGATAAAGATATCAGTGTCAGAGACTTCAACAGTAAAGAATGAGTTTAATAAGAGTATAATTATTAATGAGTAGACTCTGAGATTCTCTCTTTTTACTTTTTCAGCAGGCTGCAGTCTCATTAGAATAGCAGCAGTCTACAGATTGATAATATTAATTTTTTTTATTAATTTCAAATATTTCTTTTCTCTAATTACTTCAGGAATTTTATACTTATACAGTCTCATTACACTTCTAAAAAATTCTTTAAGAGAAAATAGAAGAAGAGTGTTACAGAGCTTATAAGACACTGACTTATTACTGTGAAATTATCTCTAAAAACTCTTTAAGAAAAAATGAGAAGTCTTAAGCAGTATTTCTTACTTAATATCTCTGATGTGTAATAGAGCAGTCTCTACTAGCTATCTCATAGCTTACAATCTCTTTCTCAGTATTTTTCAAATACTCAAGCAGTTTTCATGAATTCTCTGATAATGAATAATCTTCTTATTTTATAAGATATTAAAGCTTACTGTAATATATTCACTTATTTAATATTTTCTTCATAAGATATTCAGTATCACTCTCAATCTCAATATTATTCAGCTGAGATGACTTTATCTCAGAGTGTTACTTATAGAGCTTTAAATAGAAAATATGAAAAATAGAATAAATTAATTTCAATTCTGTGAGTAATTTTAACTTATATATCTGCTTATTCATCACTCTTATTACTAAGAAAGATTCTAGTCATCACTCACTGAGCTTCTTATACAGTCTTATTATCTTGATATTCTTTGCTAAAAGTAGTATTTAATTCTCTATCAAGAACTTTATTGAAAGATGTTTTCAATTATAGTATTTTATCTATCACTTCTGAGTAAAGTGAATACTTTTCACTGTCTTCTCATGAATTTTATTCAAAAGTTTCAATCTCACTTTTACTTCTAATACTGAGAAATACTCTGTTCTCTGTATCTGTTTAATATTCTGACTGTCTATTCTTCTCTTTAAAATATCATTTACAATATCACTGAGTAATAAAGAATTATATTTATAATAAGTATAGAAAGAAGATATCTTTAAGAGTACATTCTTTATATTATTATATACAAATTCAGTAGTTAGAAGATGTTTAAGTCAATTATTTTAATAATATAAATAGAATACTTAAAGATACTGTTCTAGTGTCTGATTTTAATATTCAGTCTGATTATCTGTCTGCAGATAAAATGCAGTACTGAGAAGACATCTTATTATAAGATAATAGTAAAAAGTCAAGCAGTACTTACTGATGAAGAGGGATTCTTGATCTGTTATCAACAATTTCAGAGCACTGTGATTATAAATAATGATATCTAAAAACAGATCAGTCAATTCAGAGACTTTAATCTTTTTATAAGTAGAGATATATCTGATTATCTTTGTAAAGCAGTCAACAATGATTAAAATTGAGTCATATTCTTTAACTCTTATTAACTTCAGCAGATCAACTATGAAATTCATTAATAGATTCTGTTATAAGCTCTTTGAAACAGGCAGTGATATTAACTCATTATATTACTTATGCTACAGAATCTTTATTCTTTAACAGATATTATAAGTCTTAATATACTCTTTAATATCTGCTCAGAGTTTATTTTAAATATATTTATATTTTAGAAGCTTCTCAATCTTCTCTAATCTGAAGTATCTTATATGAGAATTATTATGATGAATTCTCAATAACTTCTGACACACTGCTCTACTATGAGAAATGAAGACTGAATTATTCAGTAGTAGAAGTCTATATTCTTCTAGTTATTAGTAACTTAGTTTCTTAGCAGCACTGCTCTACTCAGAATCTGTCTCTTACAAGTTTAAATCAGATTCTTTCTTCTTTAACTTCTGAATTTAAGCTGCAGTAGAGATGTTCCTCTTCTGTAATTTATTAATAAATTTTAAAAGTAGTCAGATTAAAAGATTGTAGACTGTTTTATTCTTTATCAATTCAATAATTATAAGATATGATATGAGAAGCTTATGATCTTCAGTATCAGTTCTCTGCAGAGATTCAGGTTTTCTTTCATCTTCTATACTGAGTTATACAGCTGTCTTACTGACACTGTTTCTGAGCTTC